CACCTCATCCACCGTCGGAAACCCCTCGTCTTCCACCACCTCCACTCCCTATTCGAGTAGGGATACGCCATTTTCTAGCACCGGAGCACCTACGTCTTTATCAGAATGGGGTGAAGCACTAACCATTTATTTTCTTTGATCGAAAGAAACGAAAAAGATGAAGGAGAAAGACAATGGTCACAGCGAATCCTAGCAAAAGCAGAAGTATGAGAGACTAAAGAAGGAGAAAATTTGTGTTTTTTCTTAAACGATTGAAAAGAGTAACATTCAAATAAGAGGCTCCCCCCCTGTTTATAGGGATATAAATGCCCTGAGCGGGAAAACCAAGAGCCACCAGTTAAGAAGCAGAAATGGCACGAGAAACGACACGATACCTAAAAAATATGCGCCATAATGACGCATGGGGAATATTGATGACACCCTGAACTGACGTGATGGTCTAATTTTGAACTGACGTAACGGTTCGATGCAATTATCGAAGCGTCACATCGCTACCTCATCAAGAGGTTCTCGCCCCTCACATGAAGCGTTCAGATTTCTCCCAATTTTTGAATCAACAGAGTCCGCCCATCGAGATCGCCAAGAGGCGACCCCAATGGGCGGATGGACTAACTGTATGGGTCAAAATCTGACCACTCGTGGAATTAGTGCTAAAGGGAACGGTAAGAGGTCGACTAAGCCATGGCCGTACCCACAAGAAGTGAAAACGACGAGTATCTCAGCCACTGCTGAGATCGAGCCATTAGAAAGCTTGTATGGCAAAGTAAATGTCGTGACACTTAGGGGAGCGACACAAAGCGAGATGATGAGGGCGAAGTCTTCCGGTTAAAGACCATTGGACAAAAGGGAATATGGATGATATATGTAGGAGGAAAGTAGACAAAAAAGGGATCTCTCTCCCACAGAAGAAAAAGGCAGAAGAACCAGAGAAGGCTAGAGGGGAAAACCAAGAGAAGTCACAGATCTTGGCGACAAACCTCTGTAATCATCATTCTTGAATCGATAAAGATGGATCCTACAACTGTTAATGCCATTCCCCTGTTCCTCCCTTATTTTTATATTACGGGACAATACATCATAAATGTAAGCATATTACTTACATTTGATATCTTTTATAAGTCTTGAAAGTCCATGAGCTTGAATACGTCTTATTCTCCTATCCAATGTGCTTTGATGTCTAATCTAGATTTAATTATTTTTGGCTAAGATTTATCCTTTATATTTTTATTAATTAGTTTAACAAAAAGCTTAATACTTTTTTGTCAAACAACTTTCTCTAAATAAGTTACCCTCTCTATTTTATTTTATGTATGTTAGTTAGGTTGGGCACAAATTTTAATAATGTAAAAAGACTTTTGAATCTTATATTCTTAAATTAAAGATATCTCTAATATATACTATTTGATGAATCTTGTGATTTTGAACAAGTTGTGTCATTCGTATAAGAAATTGTTATTAAGAATAAATTAAAATATTAAGAAATAAAAAATTACAAAAAGTTATGAAAGATAATATTGTTTTGTGAAAGAATAAAGAAGGAAGTAGAACACATAAATTGAAGATGAACTACTTATTCATCGTTTTAAAGCCATAAATTGAAGGAATATCATTTTAATGAATTGCAAAGAAATAATGTTAACATTATTATACGTATATGCATTTTGCTCGTAGTTATTTTGATATCGAGCAATAATCTCTCGTGCTCTGCTCTCGACTTCCATCGTTATAATTCTTTACAAAATTAGGTCCCTAAACGCTTAAAAATAACTTAAAACATTATATTTGTTTCATCCGTAAAAGTGTGGTAAGGTAGGGCCTAAGAGGAAATGCGTAAAGAATTTCTTCATAGATTGGAAATCTTATGTCACACGTAAAGCAGTAAAGCACTTACTCAAAGCTGCAATTATATGCCGTTATGAAGAGTTGATGACATATAAAATAAAATATCCTCAACAATAGCGTGAAGCTTTCTTTATCTTTCAGAAGCAAAACATAATTCCATCGAATGAGTAGACACCAAATTTGGTCCTATGGAAATGCCTTTAAATGGTTAGACTGTGATGTCACAACCAGTTAAAGGTTATGGTTTCAACTCCCACTCTTATGTATGAGTTTTCTTGAATTTATATTAGTCATTTCTGAATAACGATAATATTTGGATTAGTTTGTGCGCACTTTGACTTACTATAAGGTACCTGTTAAGCTATTATCTCTATCAAGATTTAGATAGATAAGAAAAAGTTAACTATATAAGTTATTTTGTCAACTAAAATTTTAACATACAAAAAATTAGATTTACAATTCTGACAAAATCATCCGTACAAGTCATAAAACAGGAACAAATTATGTTAATCTGTACCTGAAAATTCAGTTTGTTTCAAAATTGATAACTAATCAATTTCTAGCCGCTTTCTATGACCATTGACTCCATTTTGACTATAGATGGCTTTTAAACCCCGTGGCTTTCTTGGAATCCAGCTATTGCCATTTTGGCTTTAGGAATTGTTGAATAATGGTCTTAGCCATCACTAAATCAGTGTTGATTTTCCAGCGGTCGCAAAAATACTAAAGGTGATTACTTCCTTGTTTGAGCTTTGACAGATAGAATTACCCAAAAAGATAACAAGTACCTCATGGAATTAGTCGAGATGCATACAAGCTGGTTCGAACACCGTAAAATTATTATAAAAAAAATTCAGCATTGATTCTAAACCCAATTGAAATACAAGGGCCAAACCAATTTTAGCTTTTAATGATACTTTATCGACCTTAGCCGCCAAACCAACAGGAGTAAACGAAGAAGTAACATGGATTCCTCTTAGGTTCCTTCTTCCTTCCACTTCCTTTGTGATTTTGCTTTTAGAATACTACGAAGCCAGGAAATTCAATTTTGAACACCCTTTGCTAGTGGGCTATGCAAGGGTGTTCAATGTATATTTTTAATTAATAACAAGAATATTTTACCCTATACATAGTATGATTTTTTGGCGAAGGGTGTTCAGCTGACTACACTTGGCCATACATAGCTTCGCCCCTGCCTGTGACGTGATAAAGTAGATAACCTGCTATAACATATGAAATTACACTGTTAGCATATAAAGTATTTACTGAATGGAAAATGAAGAAGAATTTGCTAAAAGTATTTTATACGCACGATTTGTTTCGACAATCTTGGGGAATTCAAGAGCTTTTATTTTGACATTGGTAAATGGAAACAAAGGAATGAATACCTAGTGTCAACTCTGTTGTGAACCTGAAAAACAAGAGAATTTGGACTTCACAAAGTGCATATGAGTAAAAGTTCCAGATATGATGGAACTCTCTTGAGCTAAACCAAGTACATAAAATGAGAAGAATACAAAATAGACTTCATGTTCCGAGGAGAATAAGAACATATCCATCCGAGTACCTTGACTCTTGGTAACTCCTGCCTGACAATGAATTCCGAATAGCAAGATGGGGAGAAGTGGCTGCACTTGAAACAAACATCAACTTGATATTCACTATCGACACCTGCAGTTTCATCGCTAATTGCCAGCATAACAATACTAAAGTGATATCTTTGTTATCATCGGCATTGGCTTCATAAACAGCTCTTCATTTTCAGGCTTGAAAGCCACCTTTGCTTTTGGAGCAACTTCAGCTGTAGAGTATAGCCATCTATTTCCAGACATGAAATCCTCATCTGGCAATGAGCACATCCACAAGTAAGATTTTATTTGAAAATAAATAAATAAATAAATCCAGGGGCCGGAAATGAGGACACTGGACGTTAACAAACCCTGAAAATGATGGGATGATTGAGCTACTAACAATTGAAAGGTTTAGAAGTTGATTCTTCTACTTATTCAGTTGGGACAAGGTTTATATGGTTGTCCTCCCTTCTCACTGTAATGTTTCCTCTGATTCAAGTAGAATTTGTAAGATTTTCTTCCACATTCTTCTGCAATTTGAACTACCTAAACTTAATGTGTCTACTTCATGTAGGAGAAGCCTTGCATCACGGGCTTAGCATGTCAACGTGATCCATAGAACACTCTTTCTTTATGAAACAAGAGACTCAAGCTTCGTGAAAGAATAGAAAAGATATCTCTGACTACCACAAATTCACCAGTAACATGCATGCGTATGGAGAAAACTTAAAAGTTTCGCAAGTCAAAAAATTTCATAAGTCACTTCTATGGGCTGCTCAATATCGACTCGAAACACAAGGATTTCCTACTTTTATGGTCCCTCCTTTTTCCTCTAATTCCCCACTGGGTGAACGGTAAAGAATATCAAAGAGGATTTAATTACTGACCCCAGATAGACAGGGATACATAAGTGAGAGTAAAGAGAAATTTGCTTTAGCTCCTGAAAAACAGGGCAAAGTTAGAAACCCATCAAGGTGCATTTAGTTTAATATCAAATACAGGAATGTTGGGATAAACAGCCTAAGAGAATTAACATTCTCTACCTTCCAGTTAGAAATAAGTTGACTCAAAAGACTGGTGACTGAAATCTTCACTAGCTTGTTAGCCAGTTCATGCATTTCATGATAAGAAGACAGTGATGAAGAAGACATCTGTTCCAACATTTGCGATTAGAAACATAATCTGGCAAGCATCCTACAAAACCATTGCACTCACATGGTTAGTTAAGAGTTCCAATCAGAAATGGCATGTTTCCTGCTTGTGGTCAATGTTTAAATCCAAGTATATCATTTCGACCAATCTTAGAAAGTTTGTTCCCTGAAAGATAACTGTTGGCAAACTGAAGTTGAGCTAACACATACAATGCTTATATACACAGAAAACCTCTTATCCAGAAATGTAAGGGCAGTCTAGCTTAAGACTGCAAAAGGTTGAATCCAACTTCAGAAATCCGTACAAATTGGTCTAAGTTCTGCCTGTTCCAAAAGAATCGAGAAACATGGAGCAACAAACACAAATTTCGACCGTCGAAGGAACTCTCTAACAGCAAAATGTAAAGGTAGAGCCTTAGAAGCAACACACTAAAAAGAATGGAAAAGAATAACATATCTTATCATTTAATCTCAATCAATTTGACTTGCATACAGACTACAAAGCATATGCCTAGTAAGAAATCAATGAATTTAATGTATATATCAATATCTAGATCTCTATCCTGCCAACTATTGCTAGACTCCTGCAGGAATGGTAAAATTTAAAGGACATTTCGGCGAATTATTTGATGCGCTCCCTGAAGGGACCTCAATTGATGCATCAATTATACGATCAGAACCATCATCAATGGTGGAGCTTATAGCAGCTATATTTTCTTCTACTTTAAATATCTCTTCTTCAACAAAATAAGATGTCATTTCATTCTCCATTTCCTCATAATCTTCCTCAGACCAGTATCCAAGGGAATCATCCTCAGATACACAACTCCAATCTTCCGAATAATAGGCCAATTCATCATCACTCTCAGTAACCAGGAGAATAGAATCAACAACATTTATATCCTCGACCTCCAGTGGACGTTCAATTCCTTCATCATCAATCAATCCCTCAACAAATGGATGATTCAGCAGCATCTCGGCAGTCCATCTATACCTAGGGTTCCTCACGAAACAACCCTTCAAGAAATCTTTTGCCTCCTTCGATAAGTTGCCTGGAATTTTAGGCAATTCATTTCCTCCCCCAATCTTTTTAAGGACATCCTCAGCATCCATATCTTCTTCCCTATCCCATGGAGGTTTTCCAGTTAACATCTCAAGCACAATACACCCTAAAGCCCAAATATCAGCAGGACACTCTTGTACGTTATCCGACACAGCTTCTGGCGACAAATACATTGGAGTACCTCTCCAATAAGGCTGCAGCCTCCTCTTCTTGCTCTGAGTTTCTCTTTTAGCTAACCCTAAATCACCAATCTTTGCCCTAAATTCAGCACCATTACCATCGCTTGAATTCGGCACGAGCAACACATTATCAGGTTTCATATCACAATGAACATATCCAATTGTATGAATAAAATGCAACCCTCTAAGCATAGATCTTGTATAATTCCTTACCTCAAATTCAGACAATTCTTTGATTCCTGATTTCTTGATCCTCTCAGCTAGGGTTCCACCTGAACCATACTCCAACAACAAGTTATAAACCATTGCACCATTTTGACCTGTGGTAGTCTCATCACCAAAACATCGAATTATATAAGGACAACCCTTGATGTTGTTCAAAACCTCCCTTTCCTTTTGAATTGAACCTGAAACTGAAACCTCAGCAGATTTCACAGCCATAACTGCTGGAAAATAGCTGTTTTTCAATCTAGGATTCTTCAAAGTAGCCAAATAAACACAACCAAAACTTCCTTTTCCTACCATTGCTCCTCTGTACCATGCAACTCCATCTCCAAATTCATTCACACTCATCTTCCCTTCAACTTTTTAACTAAATTTTCCTTCTTTTTCCTATATAAACAAACTTCAATGCCTCAGAATTGAAGCAAAAAAAGGAAACTTGGGACTAAATAAGATTAGGGCTATCTTAAAAGGGGAAAAACCCAACTAGAAGTTGAATTTTGGTACGTATTACACACGGGAAGGAAATTAGGGTTTATAGGAACAAGTTGGGGTAAGGTTGAGTTTATTCAGGATTTCACATTTAGGTTAGTTATTTATATAAAATATATATATGAGGAGGAAGAGTGGTGAGAGCCGCGTTTTCTATGAACATAAAAGAAGCAAGTTGGCAAAAATGCTGCTAACTGGAATAACGGTCATGTGGTCTTTACAACGTATGATAAATTTAGGGCATGTGCCTTTTCTTTTACACATTTCTAACATTTTCAGGTAAAAGTTTTAAGAAGTCTATGAGGATGTACTAAATATGGTAATATATTCATTTGCTTTCAATGCATAACTTGGAAATGAATGGTGGTTACATTTTGATGGATATGAAATAATGGCAATATATGTCACCATTATTTGTCACACTACTTTAGGCAAAAACTAAAATGGTTGTGAGGATACCGCTTGGTTGAAAATTTTCACTAGATATTTATAAGAAAAAATAAAATATTAGGGATATGTATAGAAAATGACACCATCTATTATTATAGCGGTTTATTCATTTATTCATTTTTTCGAATTATGACACAGCTTGTATAAAATCTTGCATACGCCACTATCGCCTCTTTCTGAAAAGGAATAAGGATAAAATAGTAGAATTATTTAATTCCCTTTTGCTCTCCTCTTATTCTTGAAAAGCTCTCTTTATATTCATGATCCAAGTCCCATATAATTCCCCTTTGCGGGTTGATAACATTATATTATCCTTTTTTGTGAACTTTAAAAAAAAGATACAATTCAACTTGTGTTAACTGTTACGTAAGTTGTAAGTTTAACCAAAGGTGAGAGACAATATTTTGACTTAACTCTATCGTCTAACATTATTAAACATTTTACAATACCTATAAGTGCAAGGTGAAACAATTCAAGACATGATAAAGAGTTAAATACTCGCAGCACAATATTAAGTTTCAAATGACTTTTAATCACACTTAAATGTCCATAAATATTTATTACACAGTTAAAATTAAATTTAATGTGATGTTTGTTACGTTAAAAAACAGTGTACATTGAATTAGTATGTAAGTTCTTAGATGAATAATAAATGTTGCCTAACCGACAACAGAACCTTTTTTTTTTTTACTAACTTAATTGTAGTTTTATAGGCCAAGATTAGCTGTCTAACGAGGAAAAACCAATTTTACAAGATACCTTATAAGGAAGAGCTGGTTGGAAATGAACAAATGAAGCCAGATCATATCATTAAATTAAAAATTGAGTAGTAGTGCAAAGGCTATTTCGAGATCCGATCACCGACCAAAACCGGCGATATCAAGTCCTTAAACCGGAAATGACACTAGGTAGCCACTTTAAAGGGCGCTATTTAGAAATTAGCCAAATGTGTCCTGAATTTTAGTTTTTCAGTTCAATTTTTCAAGATACAAATATCCTAAATTTTTCTGTAATTAAGATTTTTCGCTCAAATTTTTAAGATAAAACAAGTACTGGTTAATCCCTAAATAGCAGCCCTAAGAATAACTGTTTGTGCATCTCCCCCGTCTTTAAACATTGAAGAGTTAACCCAAATAACTGTCCACTTAATTTCTTAAACTAAATTTAGCCGGAATATATATATATATATATATTGGCTAGAAAAAATAAGTGAATCTGACCGGCTATTTGTGTAATAATCTCTTAAACATTAGAGGCCCAATATAAAGAGCGAGTAGTTGGGCTAAGGGTTGAGACTTGAGCAAAATTCATTTATAGCCACTAGGGCCAAATTTTTAACACCGGGTAACCCAAATTACGATATTCATTTTATAGCCCAAAAATAATTTTAGTGACTAGCCCAAAAGTACTTAACTAAGAGGCTCATATCTGCAAAGACAGATAGCAGAAATAGAGGCGACCACGCCATGGTTGCAAGTAAAAACCTTTGAATCGCCGGTCGTCCGGTGCTTTGCCAGGCCAAGATACGGGTCGGATAGTCTCTATGCCCGATCCAATTAGCTCGGAATCCGGATAAAATATCACCATTGCCTCAATTGTTATGTACCAAAAAAGAGGAACTAAAATCACAGAACCAGATACAGAGAAAGAGAGATCTAGTTGTTGTTCTTAATTGATGTTGAAGAAATGACTGTATAGCAGTACGTATTTTCAGAAATTCAAGGGCTGTTGATTTGTTTTAAAAGTGGAAAAGAAAAATCATTGGCTAAACAGAGAGGCAACCACCCTTTGAATAAAAATCCCAAGCTCTCTGTTATTGCCTCATTTTTTTCTGGGCTAACTTTCTTTGCTGGGGAAATACTTTGGTTTTCACCAAATAAATTTCAACATATGTGTCATTAGTTGATTTTGATGGGAATCATACTTTCAGGCCCACCATTAGTATATATTTACATGGATATTTATGTATTTCTTTCCGTGAAAATATATTTGAATATTGGTATATTACAAAATATATATAAAATAGACTGTCACTACACAAAAATTATACAAAATAGAGTAATACTATACAATTTATGTACACTAGACTGTCACTATAACAAATATATACAAAAATATACTGTCATTATATAAAAAGTATACTAAAATAGATGTCACTATACAAAATACACTGTCACTACACAAAAATATACTAAGAGACTGCCACTATACAATTTATATACAATAGACTGTCACTAAATAAAATATATATAAAATAGACTGTTACTATACACAATATATACTAAATAGACTATCACTATATAAAATAGACTGTCATTATACAAAAAATATAAAAAATCAACATTTCTGGCTATTAGATGTAATATGTTTGGGCCGAAAGGCTATTTTGTTTCAGGGAATTTTTTCGTTCCTATACACTATTTGAAACCTTATTACGAAAAATATCCAAGTTTTTGTATTTACCCGACCTAAATACGTTTTAACTACAAAATACATACAATCACCTTAAAAGACTCTCAATCCGTTATTAGTGAGGAATTTAGTTATACCCTTTTTCCCTTTTTCTCTCCTCTCTCCCTCTTAAAATTTTCCTTGTAAACCACTTGCGCATGAACCAATTTTTATACTCAACACCCTTTTTATTGCACACTGGATTATCAAAAAATGGATTCCTCGTATTTGACATTTCACCAAAATTACATATGCATCTGAAACAGACTTGAATTTCGAGAAAAGTTTGTATACTATTAAACTAGTGCTGACAGAGAAATTAGAATGTGCTATTCAAACAACAAAAACACTCTTAGATTCTACTTATTATGTCAAAATAGTCTTATTTGCATTACTGTCTGACCAAGAAACATGATTTTTAGTAGTGCTGATCTTTATTTGCATAAAGCGCTATTGATTTTACCTAAGCTAACAATTATATTCTGTTTTTATATTTCAGGATTATTGAAAAGCATCTATTATTCTATCAGCCAAGTGTGAAACTCCAGCCTTTAGTTGGAAAGTTTAATTAGTATATCTTTTTCATCTTCCTTGCCTATGAGTTTGTAACAAATTTTTCTTCTGTTTTCCGTAACAAACTCATCAGATACAAAGCTGAAGCTAAGGGTGTCAAACCGGGTTGACCCGTTTCCGGCCCGTACAGGTACTTAGTTGGGTTAGGGGATTGGTCCGTTCACCTTAATACATCCGGTTAACCGGACCGGTCAAACCCGGTCAATCAAATTCCTGTAGAACCGATTAACCGGCCCAGCCCAGCCCAGCCCGGACCGGCTTAACGCTAGATTTCTCATTATTTTTTTTAAATGTCATATGACCATTGCCCAATGGGTTGATTGCAAGAATAGTCCTTTTTTGGGCAATATTTTTTAAAAAATAACACTTTTAGTAATTACTAATTTAGCCCTTTGAAAAACTATAAATGCACCCCCACCCCCCCCCCACCCCTTCTTCTTTTCTTCACTCATCTTTCATTTTCAAACTCAAATTCTCAATTCAAGTTAAATCATGCCTCGTACTTCAAGAGTGCGCTCATATGTTTGGGAACACTTTGAGGTGGTAGAAAAAAATGAAGAAGTTCACAAAGTAAAGTGCAAAAACTATGGACTAGTCTTAAATCTTCGTCTGAAGTGGGTGAGCACAGGCTGTTTAAGGAAGCATATGAAGAGTTGTCTTGAACGTCCTTTAGAAATTCGTATTTAAGTTGATTTGAGACAATTTGTGTTATTTTTAAAATTATTAGACGTATTTATGCTTAATGTTTTAGTTTGTTAGATTAATTTGAAGTATTATTATTCAATGAAAATTTAGTTTTACTCTTTTTTTGTTAATTTAGCTGTTGTTAAATGTAAACTTTAATTTGTAAGTTTGAAATAAAAAAAGAACTTGCATATTATAAGTGCAATTTTTTTCCATCTTCATTATATTCTATTATCTTAAATTCTTAATGAAATATTCAAAATTTCAAATATAAAGATGTAAAGGCTTTGCATCCTTTTATTCAAACAATCTTTTTTATAAGATTGTTTTTTTGTTTTATATTTTTACTTTTTATTAATATAAATTATGATAGTTATACAAATACTAAAAATAAAATAATAACACTAACCCGACCCGGCTCTTTGGATCCGTAACCCTTACGGTTTATTTTTTACCCGGATGAACCCGGACCCATTAAGTCCGGTATAGACTAACCCGTAACCGACCCGGATTGAAAACCGACCGGTTTTAATTTTTCCCAACCTGGCTCGGCCCACTCGTTTAACACCCTTAGCTGAAGCCGAATGTGAAATGGCTTTTTACTAGAACCATTAACACTCGAACCTGGGAACGAGAAAATCCCATTGAGACAATGTATAAATTACAACAGAAATCATCATTGGCATGTGTAATTGAAATAAACAAACTAATTTCTGCTTCTCTACTCATTCCATATTTATCATAAGCTTTGGAAGGGGCGAGATCCTCATCCCTTTTTGGATTTGCCAAAACCATGCTACGTCTAAGAGGCAAAACAACATGAATTCGTACTGTTCAATTTTCACGAACAATTTTATACTCTACAAATGAGCCTTACTTTGTAATCTATGTAAATGCTTTATCTTGGCCATGTTCTTCCGTGGCCACATTTTCTGCGACTTAT